CCTCATAAGAAGCTAACTCTACCAACAACTTGATTTTGGATTTCTAGACTCTAGAATTGTGAGACAAAAAATTCTGTTGTTTGAGTCACCCATCCTGTGGTATCTTATTATAGCAGCCCCAGAAAATTAATACAATAACTAATCCAAAATTTAAATAGGTAAATGGCCTACACAGATAACTTATAGAGGAAGAAATACAAGTGCTGATTAAAGTAATGAAAATATAATCAGTCTTTCTAAGGAAGTGATTGGAAATTATACCAGAAAGAAGATATCATTGTTTACCCATGCCATCAAGAAATATTATATAGAGAGGGAGGACAATTTCCAGTTCAGGTGAGAGTGTTGAGGAGACTATCAGAATACACTGTACTGATAAGAGAAGTACAGACTAGCCTAGTTTACAGGAAGACAATTTACTGTCGCCTCTCAAAATTAACGTGTCAACTTTAGAGTGAAATATTTCCACTTCTGGGAACATATGTCATAGAAAATTTTAGGAAAAATATTTTTACCCATTTATATGGACTTCATTACTTTACAAGAGAGAAAGAAAAATTGAAAACACCTTAAATGTCCAGTGGTGAAATATACTACAGTATGGGCATAATGGATTTTAATATGGGTAGACGTGGAAAGAGCTCCAAGACAAACAAGACAGTTGCAAAACATGACTGCATGAGGGTCATATTTTTTGTTTTATGTTACGGGGAAAAAACATGTATTGGAAGATAAACATGCACTCATCTGTAAGTGTAAGAAGATCTGATAAGATGCTAACCAATGCTCTGTCAAGGTAGTTTACTTCTACAGAGTAACTGATTTCCCCTTTCATAAGGTCTTTGAATGATTGAATCTAGAGTGGTGCTATTAACACTTTCAGCTATATTTTTCTCATAAATGATTTCTTCATGGTTCTTAGTGTATTTGCCAGAAAACAAAGGAATTAAAATTGGTTTTCCTTTCCTCATGAAGTTATTTGAACACCAGATATGAGAATGAAATTAAAAGATGATTATAAATAATTATAAAGGAAATGCTATTCATAATTTTATTTAATTGCAAATAATAAATGGCAAATAAATCCAAATACTGAAAACTTATATATGCAACGGTGATGGAAGAAATCACACCGAATAAGTTCTGTGATGGGCACCGTGAACTTTTATCTATAAAGAACTCCTAGCCAATCAGTATGTTCTTAACAGTATAATGGCAAAGACAGTGGACACTGGAGACTGACTGATACACTTCCTTGATATGTTCTTGGAAATTATTATTCCTATGACTCAATTTCTTCAGCGGTAAAAGGGAATTAATACTAGTGTTTATTAATACTAGTGCTTATCTCAGAGTTGTTCTGAAGATTAGATGAGTGAATGAATATATGTAAGACCATCTTGCATATAATACATTGTCAGTGCTTGTAATCTAGCACTGTGATTTATTATGGTCACTTAAGATAATTTTAGAGATATGTTTATTGTCACAAATATTCAGGAAAAATAATCATGTCATGAAGTAAGCTTGTATAATTAGAAGTAGATGACGGTATGCCTTGCTGTTCATTATTTGACTTTGCTAGTAAGTCTGAAAGGAAAACTGGGGCATTAATAACTATCTTATTACTGGCTGATTACTGTTCATCAGTGAAAATCTCAAGGCCAGGGAGAAATATTGAGGTTCTTTCAGTGGAGCCTTCCAATTTCCTTCAAACAAGAGGAATGTGAAGAGTGTTAGAAACCTGCATTTAAAAAATGAGAAAAGGCAAAGAACTGTAATAGAAACCTATTGCAGATGGTGTGCATTTATTAATCATGACTAAGGCCATTGGTAGACCCAATTACTTTATAATTCTGCAGAAAGACTGTAAATTCATCAAATTTCTCAGTCATAAATATTTTATACTTTTAAAAATGAATTATCTACTGTGGGTTCAAAGACTTACATAAGTTGCTGCAACTAACACATAACAATCTGTGTGAGGTCATGTAGCATTGCATTTTACAGACAAAGAAACTAAAGATGAGAGAATTTGAGCTATTTTCCTACAAGTTTAATGTTGAACTTGTCAACCCAACTTTGACTAAAAAACTGTTCAAACAGTGGATTTTCTCTCAGTGAAGGGCTATGTTTAACTGTTGCCTAAACCAGAGACATGGCAACATTAATAACTAACTCCTTCCCACTCTTTCACTATAACACACACACACATACAAAATAAAAAATTTTAATTATACATTATTGATTCAGTTTTGTATGTTTTGCTGAAATCAAGCCAAGCTTCCCTGTCTCTACTGCTTCTAAACTAATTTAGGCCACCACAGTCTTTTCTGTGGCTTATTTCAGTGGTAACTGCCTTAACAGTCTCCTTTTTTCTAGATTTTTCCATCCTCCAGTGAATTTCCCAGTCTTTAGCCAGGGAAATCTTTCCAAAACATAAAACTGACCATGTCACTCCCTGCTTAAAACCTTACAATTGCTTCCCCTTGATTCCTTTTTTTTTTCCTTTTTTTTTTTATAGATAAGTTCATGTGTGTCATATTTTTTTTAACTTTTTATTTTATATTGGAGTATAGCCAATTAACAGTGTTGTGATAGTTTCAAGTGCACAGCAAAGCAACTCAGCCATACATATACATGTATCCATTCTCCCCCAAACTCCCCTCCCATCCAGGCTGCCACATAACATTGAGCAGAGTTCCCTGTGCTATACAGTAGGCCTTTGTTGGTTATCCATTTTAAATATAGCAGTGTGTGCATGTCGATTCCAAACTCCCCAACTATCCCTTCCCCCCACCCTATCCCCTGGGAACCATAAGTTCCTTCTCTAAGTCTGTGAGTCTGTTTCTATTTTGTAAATAAGTTCATTTGTATCATTTCTTTTTAGATTCCGTATATAAGGGATATCATACAATACCTCTCTTTCTCTGTCTGACTGACTTCATTCAGTATGATAATCTCTAGGTCCGTCCAAGTTGCTGCAAATGGCATTATTTCATTCTTTTTAATGGCTGAGTAATGTTCCATTGTATATATGTACCATATCTTCTTTATCCAGTCCTCTGTTGATGGACATTTAGATTGCTTCCATGTCCTCCCCTTGTTTTCCAAGCAATGCCCATACTCCTAACCATCATTTAAAGGTTTTGCATACTTTTGCTCATGCTGTCCATATCCTCATTTCAGCAGCAAATCTCTCTACCCCCATTTTCTACTCCAAACCTTCTGACATTTATGCACTTATTTTTTAATTCAGTAAGCTCATTTTCATTAGTATTTACATGTGTTTTCCCCCTTTCATATAACTAAATTCTATTTATCTTTCAAAATGCATATATTTTATATACTTTTACCGGGAATTGTTCTCTGGATTTGTGATTCTAATCTCTAATCACCTGTGTGTACCAATTAATCATTTTTTTTACATCTTTATTGGAGTATAATTGCTTTATAACAAAATGAATCAGTTATACATATACATATGTTCCCATATCTCTTCCCTCTTGAGTCTCCCTCCCTCCCCCCCCCCCCATCCCACCCCTCTAGGTGGTCACAAAGCACCGAGCTGATCTCCCTGTGCTATGCGGCTGCTTCCCACTAGCTAGCTATTTTACGTTTGGTAGTGTATATATGTCCATGCCACTCTCTCACTTTGTCACAGCTTACCCTTCCCCCTCCCCGTATCCTCAAGTCCATTCTCTAGTAGGTCTGTGTCTTTATTCCTGTCTTACCTCTAGGTTCTTCATGACATTTTTTTTTCTTAAATTCCATATATATGTGTTAGCATACGGTATTTGTCTTTCTCTTTCTGACTTACTTCACTCTGTATGACAGACTGTAGGTCCATCCACCTCATTACAAATAGCTCATTTTTAAACTTTCCCTATCAGGTATAGTTCTGTGCTGCACTGACAACTGTTTCCTTGTCTACATTCTTCCCCCACACGTGCACACTTGCTATAATATATATAAATACACACACACACAAATATACACACTACTTGTTCATTCATTCCTTAAGTAAGATCTTAGGGTAGTAACTTAATTTTTCTGAACCCAGTCTTTTATATCAGCAAAATTAGAGTTACAATACCTGTCTTATTATCTTGCAAAGTCCATATGAGAAAAATGGGGAAAAAATGTACATATATATGTATGATAATGAGATAAGTCTTTCCTTCCTTGTAATAGATAACAAGTCTGTTCAAATTTCACTGTAATTACTATAGTTATTGACTGATTTTTAGAGGTATTTTCTTTAATAGCAATATTTTGAAAGGGGTGCCTTTTCAGTGCACTTCATTCCCTACAAACCAAGGGTGAAGCAAAGCCCCTCCATTCTGCTCTGGTTCCACCCCCAAGTTTGTCCCCCCAGTGTCAGAACCTGTCTATATCTCTGATCTACCTTGGTTCAAATCAAATCTCTTGCTGTAAAACTTCAGTGACCTTAGAAAACAGTGTGTCATGTCATGGAAAATATCTGTTTTCCAAGAGGTATCTGATAAACTATGTTATACATGCAAAAGATGTGCAGTGTTGTTCTGGAAACTGTAGCCTGGATAGTCCTCAATGCAAAACGAAACATTTCTTTAAAAAACTGGTATTTCAATTTTCCCTTTTTAGATGAACTAATAAAAACAAAACATCTGGGCTTCCCTGGTGGCGCAGTGGTTGAGAGTCTGCCTGCCGATGCAGGAGACGCGGGTTCGTGCCCCGGTCTGGGAAGATCCCGCATGCCGCGGAGCGGCTGGGCCCGTGAGCCATGGCCACTGAGCCTGCGCGTCCGGAGCCTGTGCTCCGCAACGGGAGAGGCCACAGCAGTGAGAGGCCCGCGTACCGGAAAAAAAAAAAAAAAAAAAAAAAAAAATCCTAGTAATAATTGGTTTCAGTTTATCTAGTTTTTGCTTAAAATGCAAGAGTCTGTGATTTATGGCCAAAATGGCTAGAGCCAAGTGAAGGCATTTGGGGGGCCCTCATGCCTTTTCTTTCTGTGTTAGACAGGACTCTGGAGAGCTAGAAAAGCAGCTGAAGCAAGTCTTGAAGGAGCGGAGCACCATCCTCCGCCAGCTGACAAAAACATCAAGAGAACTTGATGGAATTAAAGTCAACCTTCAGGTGAGATGAAAACTAATTTTCTCAGCAGCAAAGGGTAAGGAGTCACCTGGTTTGTCTCGGTGGGTTAACATGTGAAGACTTCTGCATTTTTTTAACCAGTTTTGAATATATTTCTGGGCTTGAACATGGGAGTTATTATTTATTATTATATGAGCTTTAAAAAGAAATGTCATTTGAAATGCAGTCTGGGAATCTGTGATTTGCAAATTCAGGAATGAGAAAACCGTGTGCTTGGCAAAGCCATCAATTTCTCACAGTTTCTAAGATCAGTTTGACCCCTGTGTTTTTTATATTACAAAATGATGAAAAGCAGTTATGGCTAAGAGTCATAAATGAATATAGAAATGATCTCTTGAAGAGAACTTTAAATTCCACCAAGGATAGTTCTGAAAATTCTTTAATAAACCTCATTACTAAAATGGGTAAATGCCTTGCAAAGGAAAGTGTCATCTGTGAAAATGTATTAGTACTCAGTGAAACCAAAAACCAAAGACAATATCTATATCTGATAAGAAAAGTTTCTGAAATATCTGAGGATATATTTTAATATTTTCCTTTAACATTGTATTTTTGAATACATACTGTATACTAAAAGCTTGGTATGTATTATAGGATTTAATTCTCCTAATATATCAATGAGGGTAGGCACTATAAATGTGAGTTTTCTTGTTACACATGAGGAATCATGCTTGAATGTCACAAAGGAAACCAGAGTTTAAATGCAGGCAGTCTGATTCCAGAGCCGGTCTGTTAGTTATCGCACTGAACCAAGTTTCTGAACCTTGTGTAATCACCATTGTTCTTAGCTTTTTAGTCCTATGATGATGATTATGGTGTCAGTAACCACTACAGTTTATTGAATGTGGTCTCTTGTGTTAGGTCCTCTTTCTCCAATTTTTAATTAATTTTCACAGGATGATTATGCTATGATTATTATTAGCCTCATTTTACAAGTGAGAAAACAGAGTTAGAAAAGGGCTTGGAATCTGAGAGCACAGAGAAAGTTAGGAGGTGGATCTGGTATTTTGAACCCAACACCCAAGCTCTTGTTCCAGAAGTCGTATTACATCTTGAGAACATGAAAATAGCAGAAAAATTACTCACACTCCAATAGGATACAGTGACAGGTAGCAAGATGGTGACAGTGCAGGAATAATAGTTCTATGGTAGAAGTTTGCACAGAGCACTAGGGACGCACTGACTAGGATGAAAATGGGTGCATATTGATTTCCATACAGGAAGTTGAGGCCAGAATGCTACCTTTTCATTAAGTAGAAATTCACAAGTTTTATGAGACTTCAAAGAATATTTAAGACACCTGCACCTTCTTAGAGGCATGAAACACCTGGCACGTTGAGAATTTCTCAAGCTTATGGTGAAATAAATGCCCATGAGTGGTCAGTTCTTCCAGCCAGGACACTTGGTATCTCTATACTAGCAGCCTAAGTTAAGTCAACCTAAGTGTCCATCGAGAGATGAATGGATAAAGAAGATGTGGCACATATATACAATGGAATATTACTCAACCATAGCAAGAAATGAAATTGAGTTATTTGTAGTGAAGTGGATGGACCTAGAGACTGTCATACAGAGTGAAGTAAGTCAGAAAGAGAAAAACAAATACCGTAAATACCGTATGCTAACATATATATGGAATCCAAAAAAAAGACATCGAATTACAGTCTAGGAAATTATTTGAAATAAATGTGCAATTTTGTGGAGTTACTTTTTGAAAGGGTAATACATCTATCACTAAATGTAACTGCAATCTTTTAAAATGCCTTTTATTTATTTTGTGACAGCCATTATGCAAGGTGTTTTTTTATTTAATTTTTATCTTATTAAATCCCCTCAACATGCTTTTCACAAAATAAGACAATATTTTACTCATTGTACAGTGAGGAAACGAAATTCAAAGAGGCCACAGCAATCTCCCAAAGTCATACATCTAATAAATGTTGATTCCAGGTTTCAAACTCATAGTAAATAAATAAATGTATTGCCCATCGTACACATTTTTTTTTTCCAGTGGGGCTTCATAAAGACATGAGCTTTGAAAGCCTTGTTCATCTCTGTAACCATAGCACCTGGATGGCATCACAATATAGATCCGTATATAAACATTGTATTAAGTAAGTAGTAGGTATGTCAATCTTTGGTATCCTTAAAGTCATCAAAATTATTTTCCAAGACGTATACCCCACTTCTCTGGACATTGCTGGGGAAATAATAATCAAATACTCATGAGTTCTTCTAATTGGATACATTTTTCAGACCCTCATCTGCATACCTACCCTTTTCATATTTTCATTTCTTCATTTCATGTTTTGTTTTGTTTTTAATTTCTTGAGGATAGTGCCATGCCCTTTTAATCTTTGTTTCCTTCAGAATGCCTGGAGTGTAGCAGATGGTAAAATGAATAAGCATATTTTTATTATACTTTTCACCAAATGCTTTCACACATCTATTATCCCCTTTGAGTTTTCCAGTAACTGTCTAATGTAGGCTCTTCAAAATTCTCATCCCTGTTTATCAGATAAGGAAGTCAAAGTGCAGATTTTGTGACCTGTCCCAGGTCATATGGCCATGATGCACTTTGAACTGTAAATCCCATGATTGGTGATTTTCCCCCAAACCTGCTTTTCTGTGCTTTATGTCAAGCTACTCTTTTCAAATAAACAGAGCTCCTTTTATTGGCTGCTTCCTAATAATGATATCAATCAGTCATTTTAGGGAAAAGGTTCTCTTGTGATGCTCACCCCACCACATCCATATCAGAATGCTTAACTTACTACATGAAAATTGTTTCTAGCATTAGGCTGAAAAATTGGTAAAGGCAGACACTATGGCTTTGTTGTTAAATAAATATTAGGTAAGCAACATGTTTGCCATTCTTGTTATTGTCAGTTCCTTACCTGTCATAGCTGCTCTTTTTACAAAGAATATTATTGTGTCTGTTTTAACTTTTAATATCAAAAAGGATAGGTCACCCTGTTAAGTAATATACTAAGTATAAATAAGAAAGTTTTCAGGGAAGGATTAACGGGTCAGATTCTCTAATGAGAAAAGCTCAGTGGGCTTTTCTCTTTTAATTCAGGGTCTGTCAATGCTGAATTTGCCAGAGTAAATAAACAGTAATGACTGAGGTGGTATTTTTTTTCTTTAATACACTACCTATACAGAACCGTTACAATTTTTAAATGGCCCTAGTTTTTCTATGCCTTCTAATGCGTTACTCATAAATAATAAATAGACAAGACCAAACAGGTGCATGCCATTTGACTGCTTTCATCCTGATGTATTATTACTTAGCTTATTTAGGGAGGCCTTTTATGTCCCCTTGTGTTTGTAGAAACTATGCCAGAACCAGTTTAACATGCCTGCAGAGAACATAGTAAAACTTCAAATGAAGAGCAGAAAATATGTTTTATATTCACTTATAAAGAGACCTAGGTATTTGGAGAGTACTTTCTCCTCCACTGAACCTCTAAAGGCTGAATCTCAGTTCATTCCCTTTCACTCACTGTGTAGCACTTGCACCACTTGGTGTCATAAATTGTGCATCCTGAGAGCCTATGTTCATCCTGAGAGCCATGGGGACCATCATGGCCTCGTTTGTACATTCTTATTTCAGGGCATAAGTGCAGCCACACCTTGTGCCATAAACACAAAAGTAAAGTAAGCTTCAATTTATCACCTGAATAAGACTTCCTTTTCCCACTTTTCTTAACAGAATTTGAAAAACGATGAGAAATCTGCCAAAACTGATGTTCAGAAGCTTCTGGAAATAGGTCAGAAACAAAGGTAAGGCTGTGTCTTCCTTTTATTTTCTTAGTTCTTTTTCTCCATAACCAAACTCCATTCAGAGACTTCACAAGAATAAGTTTATTCTAAATGCATTCATTTCTTTATATTCTTACTTACACTTTAATGTATAAGAATCTTGTGCAAATGTAGATCCTTATAAAATAAGTGTAGGGTGGCTCTTGAGATTCTGCATTTCTAACACGTTCCCTGGTGATGGGTGATCCCGATACTGATGCTGCTTGTCTGCAGATCTCAGTTCAACCGTTAAGGATCTGAAGTACTTTCCTTTATCATCCCACTAAGATGGGCCCACATAAGTCTGCCCATCAATAGATCCAATAACAATGACATCAGTGGGCCGTTTTTTTTTTTTTTTTTTTTTCTCAGATTCTGTGATCTGAAGTTTATAACTTGTAGAGGACTTTGGCCTTTTTTAACAGTATCAAAACTTGATCGTGGCGATAGTGGTGGGGGGTGGTAAGAAATGGGGTAAACTTAACGCAGTAGAATTGGAACAGTTTTATTATTGTTGCCGTGTTTATTTTGGAAGGAAGTGAACTATGAGCTAGATTTCTATGCAGTATTAAAAAAACTATATGACTTGAAATAGCTTCTCAAGGAAAAAAAAAAAAAGCCAAGGTATTTTAAGGTAGAAACAAGCCAGCATTTGTTATTTGTTATACATTTACTAGAGGCTCTACTAGATGCTTTATTTTTTTTTTCTTGTTTCAACACCACAAGTATAGATTAAATATTATTGTCCCCATTCAGTAAATGGGAAATTGATGCTCAAAATGCCTAAGTGAATTGATGAGAGTTGTGTTAACTGGAATTTGCTCTGCTGTGTCTTACCCATAGCCATACCCTTTCAAGATAGTTTACTGATCCAAAGCAAAAAGCCGTTTAAAAAGTTGACAGATGCTACACTATGTAGTCCCTTCTCACCATCTTCTATCTTCTCCACTGTCCTTGCCTCTTGACCCAGAAACCTCATGGCACTGAGGCGATGACATGTTAAAAATCAACTCAAGCATCTTATATTGACTCTTGTTATTATTTAAATGGAATCATTATTTATTGAACATGAAATTCTCTCCAAAGTCCAATATTAAAAAGATGTCATATAAAATATGGGTCTGAGCATGTTTCCAAAATTGCATGATTTTAAATTATTTTATTGGTTTGAAATAATCCACTTTTTAAAACACCTGTGCTTGATATCACACAAGTATATGTGATTCAGTGAGTTAGTGGAGAATTATAAACAATATTTTCAGTAGAAATAGATAGTCAAAATGTTACCAAGCCTAAGCTTGTACTGCTCCCTGCACAACAGGCCAGTAATCGAGAGATGAGTTCTTGAGGCAAGAAATAGTGACTTTATTCAGAAAGCCATAAAAACCGAGAAGATCATGGGCTTGTGCCCCAAAGAACCATCTCGCCTGAGTTAGAATTCAGGCTCCTTTTATATACTAAAACGGCAGCCTCCGGAGGACATGTGTTAATTTTTTCTTCCCTGCAGTCACTCACAGGTAGACCTGGTCAGGATGTTTCCTGTGAGCTAAACAAAGGTATTTTAGCTTAATGCTCATTACCTGGGATGCAGGGTTCCCAGAGATGGACCATTATGTATAATTTAAGCTTATAGGCAACATCCCTTTAGTGATCAACTTGTAATAGAATACAAAAGGTTCTTCCCTATTACAAAAACAGACCAAGAGTCATTGAAAATTATCACTTTTTGTAGAGTCTTCCATGTTGGGAAAAGATAATAAACAAAAACATAAAAATATAAATGACTTCTGCATAATGCATGTGCAATACCAGTGAGAGGGTTGCAGTGACTGAAGAAGACAGATTGAGTCAGGAAAGATCAGAAAATAAAGCTGTTGTGCATAGACTGGGACCACTCAAAGGTTAGCTCAGTGTGGACTTCAGCCTAAGCAACAGAAAACCCATTCATGTAGCTCTGTAAAAGAATGATATAATTAAAGAATTATATTAGGGGAATTATTCTGACAACATTGTTCAAGGCAGAAAGAAAGAGACATAGACCAGGTTGAGGAAAGGTCCCCTAGAGAAGAGACAGAGAGATCTCATCAGTGAGGACCATGGAGTGAAAGAGCAACGAAATCAGCCTTTCTTTATTGCAGGAGAGACACAGATGAAGAGACAGGCTTATGCATGATGTGAATAAGGAAAAACCTGTTCCTTTAGCTGACTGATATTTTCTTAAATTGTCTATGGTTGTTTCTACATGACACACAAAATATCCAGGCAAATGAGGAAAAACATGGTTAGAGTTATTAAGAATTTCAGGCCATCATCTCTACATTTGGCATGGTATACAGATAGCCAGATGATGGACCAAGTTTTTCAATGAATGTGTTAAATGGAGCATATATTTTGGTATTGTGATTTCAAAGTTTTATCCAAAATTATAAAATTTGTTAAAATGCATAACTTGTATAATGTACACAAAGTCAGCATGGAAAATTCAATAAATCCTAACAATAGGTGATTTCTCAAAAGTATAATACATTTGATATATTAGTTTTTGCTGTTTAGTTAGAGTTATAAAAATCATGGTTATCTGAATGTGAAGGAGGCCATATATCTCATTTCCAAAATAAAAGAGATTAATAAACAGTAAAAGAGAAAAAAGTTATCTCAGACTATAAAAAGTATTAACTGATGGCAAATTTAGAAGTATTATCAGAGCCTGAAAGACTAAAATGTACTGCAGATGCCATTTGGCTATACACCCAGTTCTCAGTAACTACATGTCCTCTGGGATCCTTGTCACCTGGCCCTTACCTGGCAAAGTAGTCCCTAGAAGTCGTGCTGCTTTTATGTGTCTCTGACATCACGGGCTACAGTTAATTACCTCATAGGTGTCTACCAAAACAAAACTGAATCATTTAGAATTTCCTTCTTGGAATTGTAACCAACAGGCAACTAATAAAGTCCCTCTGTGTAGCTGTACTAGATTGTAAGTAAGTAAACGCAGAGGATATGGCACGGTCGTAAACAACCAGGTAGTGAGAGCAGCATGTCTTTCTGCCAAAGAGGTACAGAGAAAGGAATGTGTATATGTGTGTTTGTGTGTGTAGTGTATGTGTGTGCATGTGCACATGCACACATACTTTTACATGAGAAGGAGAAAGTTGCATTGACTCTTGATTGTTACATTTCAGAAATATTTAGACAGCTTAGGTAATATTCATAGAAGAGTCCTCTGGTTGATGGAGAGACTTTTAAGCCATACTATGTGAGGGGTGAGAGTATGTAACCAAAAAATAGAGACCCTGGGAGATAGGAGAGTACCCTGAAGTTTCTGAAAAGCTGTCTTGAAAATAAAAAGGAATAAAACATTTTACTCTCTACGGTGGATGGTGGGTAGAGATTTTGAGAAGGCAGTTTTGGACTCTGTGTACTAATGGATTTTAGTATATCGAGTTCTCTGTAAAGGAAAAGAATGCCTGAGATAGTGGCAAGGTTTCTATCTGTGATGTTATGACAATACAATCTGGTAACCACATGAAAAGAATACCTTCCTGTAGGGTGAGGTATTTTTATATTTATAATTGGGGATGGAAGATGTGTGAAACAGCTGCCTTTTAAAATCCCTTGTAACCATGAAGTTCTATGGGAAAAGGTACTCAACATCCGAGAAACCCTATCACAGTGTCGCTGGAGCCAACAGTTCTTTAGAATTCAAGCTTCAGTTCAGTGCCAAATACGGCCCAAGAGTAGCTCTGCATAGTTTGTGCAAATCCCATTTGGTGGAGGGGGGGTGGTTGGAGTAGAACAGAGCAAGTTGTGGGACAGGAGTTTGGGGCCAGCTAAAGCATGGGAGCAGTGAGAATGTGCAGAAATAAGTCTGAAAAAGGAGACGGAGAGATTCAGAAGTTTCAAAAGTCCCGCTTTGCCATTCTGTCTGATAGCTTTCCTCGCCATGAAAATGAGAATTCTCTACCTTCTCCAGCTTTTAACAGCTTTTGCAACTTATTGTTTTTCTTACTCCCTATTGCCTATAGATGTCAGTGTGTGGGCATTTTTGAATATATATATACATATATAAACACTTATTTTAATTTTTATAAAATATATGAATTTTATCATTTAAATTTAAAATATATGTATCACTTTAAAATAAAAATGAGAATTTTAAAACCCAGAAATAACGAATAAGTATTACAAGAGTTTATTATAACTTTTTTCTAGTTGGAAATATAATAGTCCTATTGCATTTTTATTCAGTACTTGTTGAAGACTTGAGCGTTAGGAATAGAATGTAGATCCTTCCTTCTTTCTTTCTCTCTGTCTGTCTCCCTCAATAGGGGTAGTATAATGACTCTCTAGAATTTGAGCACACAGTCTGCAGAACACAATTCCACCACCTCGTTATGTATCAGTTTTCCATTTTATGGAGTGCCTGGTATACTGTAAGCCTACAATATATGTAAATATTACTATTATTTTGTATTATATTATGCCACACATGCTCTTTGTGGAAAATATCAGGAGAAATAATGGAAGTCTACATGTGAAACAATTCTGATAAATAAAACCGGTTTGAGGCCGTAATGGAAGCTGAGAATTAAAATCCACTTTAAGCAAAAGCATGTTAAAGCTTTACCCAAACAACCAGAAATCATCTAAAAACCAAAGTGACTAATTATTTTATAACTTGTTCCTGTTATACGTTACCTTGATAAACAAAATCCAGATTGATTCCAGCGATCGTATAGACTCTCATGGATATTCCTAAAATTGAAACTGGGACCTAATAGTTTCTAGAGTAATCATTAAATCCTTCTGGATGAAAGAGCAGCTTGTGGTTGTGCAGGATGTGGTGGTCAAAGAATGAACACAGGGACCTCAAGTGGTGCCAGTGGTTGTGATAACGGTTTCGTGTATTACGTGATTATTTTCCAGGCATTTGCTAGGCATTTTGCCTATATTACATCTTCTAAACCTCACTATAAACCTAT